CCGACTTCGGCTCAGGTCATGATTTCACGGTTCGTGGGTTCGAGCCCCGCGTTGGGCTCTGTGCTGACAGCTCAGAGCCTGGACCTGCTTCGGATTCTGTGTCTCCCTCTCTCTCTGCCCCTTCTCCGCTTGTGCTCTCTCTCTCTCTCAAATATAACTAAATATTTTTAAAAAAAATTTTAAAGATCGGGGTGGGGAGACCAGTTAGGAGTAACTTCGGTGGCCGACGTACGATGTCAGTGTCTTAGACTTAGGGCTGCGAGATTTAGTGAATTACAGTGCAGAACACCTAGTGAAAATTTGAATTTCAGATAAGCAAAGAATTATTTTTAGTATAAGTATGCCCCTCCCCGCCAAATACTGCATGGGGCATATTCATAATAAAATGTTCTTTGCTTATCCCCAATTCAAATTTAGCGCAGTCATACACAAAATTTTGTTGTCTGGACGATTCCAGATATACTGTGAAGGGATGCTTGTCAGGATTTGCTGATGTGAGAACCAGGTTCCTGGTTCTAAAGCCCTGGGGTAGGAGTGTAGTTGGCCGAGATAGGAAAAACTTGACTGGAGTTGCAAAGAAACAAGTTGGGAGAAATGACTTAGAATTAAAGAATAATTTTAAGGTGCTTCTTTCCCTGGAGGAGTCAAGGTCAAGGTCAAGCTAAGAACAAGACTATCTTCGTGTGCGTCCAATGTGTGGCGGCTCTAGGAAAAACTCATGCTTTGTCTTAGCGTGCTGTTTCTTTTCTTTTCTTCTTCTTTTTTTTTTTCCTATTTCTGAGAGAGAGAGAGAGATGGGGCGTGGTGTCCATATACGACAACTTCCTTTTGAATGACTAAGTCTGTAGCTAGCAGCTGACACTGAGTCCCGTCTCTGCAGCCTTTTAAAGAAAGAATTATTGATGGGGGAATTCTCAAGAACAAGCCAATTGTTTCTTGCTACCGGTTGCTTTTCTTTTTTTTAAAGACCCGAGTTTTATTTTTCTCCCACAGAATTTTATATGTTGTTGATTACGAGGGCCTAAAATAGCAATAAAGGGCAATCGTGCCTAGAGCGACACATCAGGGTCATTGTTGATATTCAAAGTGGCTGCATTTCTGATGTTTTTTGTTGATGTGTCTAAACAATACATTTTGAAATCATGACCATTTCCTTGTATTACTTTTCATATTAATCTCCTGGTGTTCCGCACACATTAATGATCCCAAATGAGGTGTGATTCTCCAGTCCTGCTCACAAGAGCTAAGCAGGTATCTTAATGTAAGTTAAAGGGAGTTCTGTCCTAACTCATGGATTGTTCAAGAATGAACTGCATCTCGGCTTGAAGCCTACCGAATGCAATTTATGCTTTTAGCGAAAATCTTTTTTCTTTACGAAAGTGGAATGTGTTGCTAATAATTAAAAAATCAAGATATGTATTGTCAGACTGTCTGAACTAAGACCCCAGAAGGTGGGTGGAGCAGAGTACTGTCTAGATGGGCACCCATGCTCCTGCTTGGGACAGTCTACACCTGGCTCACCTGCCTCATTTTTGTTTCCCGGAGTCACCTGTAGGCATTTGAGTCAGTGGTCGCCGAAGGCTTTCCGCAGTAGGCCGAATAATGGCCCCCAAAGATATCCAGGTCCATGGGGCGCCTGGGTGGCCTAGTCGGTTAAGCATCTGACTTTCGCTTAGGCCATGATCTCATGGTTCGTGGGTTCGAGCCCCGCGTCGGGCTCTGTGCTGACTGCCAGCTCAGAGCTGTTTCAGAGCCTGGAGCCTGTTTCAGAGTCTGTGACTCCCTCTCTCTCTGACCCTCCCCTGCTCACGCTGTCTCTCTCTCTCTCTCCTAGAAATAAATAAAACATTAAAAAAAAAAGATATCCAGGTCCTAATCCCTGAAATCTGTGAATGTTACCATAGATAGTGGAAAAGATTTTGCAGCTGTGTCCAATTTAAGGCTCTTGAGAAGAGGATCCTGGGTTATCCAGATGAGACTTATGTAATCACAAGTATCCTTATAAGAGGGAGGCGGGGGAGCTTGAGCCCAAGGACAGAGAAGGTAGGCAGTGACTGAAGCAAGAATGCTACACTGCTGGCTTTCGAAGGTGGAGACGGGAACCACAAGCCCAGGATCGCAGCTCTAGAAGCTAGAAAGAGCAACAAAACAGAGTCTCCAATGGAGGAGGCATGATCCTGCCCATAGCTTGGTTTCAGTGCAGTGAAACTGCTTTTGGACTTCTGGCCTCCGGAACCATAAAAGAATAGTTGTGTGTTGTTGTGAACCCCTTAGCCTGTCACAGCAGCAATAGGAAATGATCCACCTTCTTATCTCGTACCTGAGAACAAATTAATAATCTATGCACCTGCTCCCCACCCTCTCTGGTTTTCTGAGACCTCAAGTAAAGCGGTCCTTGCACCTGGGCAGTCCGGTGTGTGACTGGTGTGAGGAGGGCAAACGAGACCGGACGTACTTGGGGGAAAGATGGTGGCTGTTTTTCCACCATCTTTCTTTTTTTTTTTTTTAATTTTTTAAGGTTTTTATTTATTTCTAGGAGAGACAGAGAGACAGCGTGAGCAGGGGAGGGTCAGAGAGAGAGGGAGTCACAGACTGAAACAGGCTCCAGGCTCTGAGCTGTCAGTCAGCACAGAGCCCGACGCGGGGCTCGAACCCACGAACCGCGAGATCACGACGTAAGCGAAAGTCGGACGCTTAACCGACTAAGCCACCCAGGCACCCCTCCACCATCTTTCTTTGGCTCAGGCAGACCTGAGCTTGGGTTTCAAGGGGGGTCACACAGCACATCGCCAGTGGGCAGTAAGAGACTCTGAAGGCATGGGAGACGTGAAGACTGAATTCCTAGAGTCCCCCTTCTGTGATCGTACTCTAGATTTTTGGTCTGGCCCAGTATCCCTGCCTACTTGTTCTGTTTTGGGGAACTTGGCCTCCCCATTTCATGTAGTCCTGGAAACGGAACCATGGAGACCCCCCAGCCCTCCCAGGGCCAGGAACTAGACCATTCTGATGAATACTGGTTCTCAAACCGGATTGTGCATCAGAAGCACTGAGAGGGATTGTTAAAACATGTTGTTGGGGTTGTACCCCCAGAAGTTTCTGACTCACCAGTCTGGGCGGAGAATTTGCCTTCCTAACAAGTTCCCAGGTGATGCTGGTCCAGGGATCACACTGAGACCCCTTGCTCTTGGAATTTGAGTCCTAGACGGCAGAAAACAGGTGATGAGATCACCCGAAACGGGCGGTTCATGACTTCTTACAATGAAACTCCTGAAACTCATCTGATCTGATTCTGGGCATTTTGAGGATCTGCTTATTTTGTTGTTAATAATTTTTCTAAATGTCTGTTTATTTTTGAGAGAGACAGAGTGAATGGTGGAGGGGCAGAGAGAGAGGGAGACACAGAATCTGTAGCAGGCTCCAGGCTCCGAGCCGTCAGCACAGAGCCTGATGTGGGACTCAAACCCACAAACTGTGAGATCGTGACCTGAGCTGAAGTTGGATGCTTAACCGACTGAGCCACCCAGGTGCCCCAAATGCACTTTAGTGCTGGGGTCATACTGTATTATGTTTATCCTGGCTTTCTTCCCCTTGCTAGGTTATATTTTCAGGGGATTAATTTTTCTCCATGTAATATTTAATAGCTTCACAGTATTTCATCGATGCATTATTTATAGAGCAGCTACTATGTCCCGGGCACGGTTTTGAGTGCTGAAGACTTAGCAGTGAACAAAGGTCTCTGCTCTTCGTGGAGCTGACATTCTAGTTAGGATCCTTCTTACATCTTAATGGGGTGAAATTTAACCAACGGCCTATTGTCAGTTACTTAGATTGCTTCTGATTTTCAGTATTCTAGAACAATGCTTTGGTGCACATCCTTGAATGTATTCTTTGAATGCATCCTCCATTTTCTTCTCTTAGGATAAACTCCTAGAAATGGAGTTGCTGGAAGAAAGCAGATGTGAGTAAATGAGGTGCTGAGATTCCCACCTAGATGTGTCTGATTCTGAGGCTGTTAATTACCATGCTGTTAATATCCCTGCATTGAAACATCATGGTAATTAAAGTAGCCAATGGTTCCTAGCTGGCTTATGATTTAACGGGGTTGGTCTGGAGGGGGAAAAAATGTGTGTGTGTGTGTGTATGCATGTATATACACACACATGCACAGCTTCTATATAAAAATTTACATAATTAGAATCCTGGGTCTGCACGTCACCAGGTGTGTGTAAAGCCAGGGCAATAGTTCCCATCTAAAGGGGTTGTTAGTAAATATTTTTTGAATGCCTATTACTCTCCAGACTCCAAGCTAAGAATGGGCAGTCCAGTAGGAAAGGGAGATATTAATAATTTCACAGGGGCGTCTGGGGGGCTGAGTCGGTTGGGTGTCTATTTGATTTCTGCTTAGGCTCTGATCTCCGGGTTGGTGGGATGGAGCCTCACCTCAGGCTCTAAGCGCTGACAGCTGAGAGCCTGGTTGACTCTGCCTCTGCCCCTCCACCGTGCTTGTGTATTCCTTCTCCCCCCACCTCTCTTATAAACCAAAAATATTTTTACACAAATACCAAATACACCCTGTGCCTTATTTTGCTACCTTTATTTTCTTAACAGTTACCACTGATTCAAACCTTCCTGTTCATTTGTCGAACGTCTCTTCCCTCCCCTCACCCACCCTCCCCAACTTGAAACCCCAAGAGGGGAGGGGTATTTGCAGGGTTTTAGGATTTAAATGCTGAATCCGCAGCGCCTGGTATCTAGTAGTTGCTCAATCGCACGTTTGATGAGTGAACAAACGGTGCTTGGGGCCCAGTCCGCGCTTGACAGAAGCCGCAGGCGGGAAAGTGGAGAGGCTGGGCGCCCCGGGCCCCGTCGCGAACCCCCGGCCTGGGACAGCGCGAGCCACCAGGGCCGGGGGCCGCGTGGGCGGGGGCGCGCGCCGGGGGCGGGGCCACCCGCCCGGAACTCGGGTGCGGCGGCGGCGCGGGTTTCCGGCGGCGGCGGACACTTCCCGCGGAGGGACTGTCCCGTGGCCGCCGGCGGGGCGAGAAGGACGCCGAGCGCCGGGGACGGCGGCGGCGACGATGGACGACCGCAGCCTGGACGAGTTCCGCCGGCGCTGGCAGGAGGAGCTGGCGCAGGCCCAGGCGCTCAGGAAGCGGCGGCGGCCCGACGCTGCGGAGCGGCGGCCGCGGCGGCCCGAGGCGGCTCTGGGGCGCGGCGAGCAGGCCTCGGGGTACCTGGCGCTGGCCCAGGGCCTCCTGGAGGGAGCGGGGCGGCCCCCGGCTCCGCGGGCGACCCGGGCCGAGAGGCAGGACGCGGCGAGCCGCTCCCGCTCCCCTCCTGCCCGCGAGGGCGCCGGGGGCGGGGAGCAGCTGGTGGACCAGCTCATCCGCGACCTGGTGAGTGGCTTCAGCCTCCTGCCCGGCTCCGCGCCTGCCCCGGCCACACACCCCTGCAACGAAGTGGACAGCAACTGAGCCACCCCGGGTCTGTGCATGCAGAGAGTAGCTCTGCAAGTGGTAGTTTTCCCACCCTGGGGTGACTTTGTTTCCCCATCTTGGCAGGAGCACCTGCAGACCTATTTTGGATACCACCACGGGGTTGGGGACGTTGCGATCGAATCTAATTCGATTGGAAGTCAGGGATCCTCTCGAACATGCGGCCGTGCATAGACAGCGCCCAGAAATAAATGATCCAGCCCACAATGTCAGTAGCCGCTTGAGAACTGCTTTTCAGGAACGCCTGTAACTTAACGCCTACAACTTAACTTTTCCCTTTAGGGAGGGAAGAGATCTGGGGACGGATAGGAAGCTATTATTTTTATTCTGTAGAATGTTTGTATTACTCAGTCCCCCCCCCCCCCAATTGTACATGTATTCAAAAACAAAGCAGGAGGGGCGCCTGGGTGGCTCAATCGGTTGAGCGTCCTACTTCAGCTCAGGTCATGATCTGGCGGCTCAGGAGATCAAGCCCCACATCAGGCTCTCTGCTGCCAGCTCAGAGTCTGGAGCCTGCTTCAGATTCTGTGCCCCGCCCCTTCCAAGCTTGGGTTCTGTCTGTCTCTCAACAATAAACATTAAAAAAAAAAAAAACCCAGGAAAAGAAAAATCCTTTGGGCACTACCATTAGCATGGGGGTTCTTATCACTCTGTGTGCATGGATCCTTTATGAGGATCTGAAGAGAAGCTGGGGGCCCTTTACAAAGTTGGCATGGTCAGGATCACCTGAAACACCTCCATGGTTAAGGGTTAGGACAGTACAACAGGGGTTAGTGGTTCAACTTAAATTAGGCTTAAAGGTTTTACAGCTTCCCAATTTAGAGTAATTCTGTAATTGGCAAGCTGTTTTGAGAAATAATGGCGTATTTAACATGTAGTTCTAGTTACATAATCTTAATAGCTATAGGAGTTTTCACCAAGTTTCTGGCCCTGTGCTCTGCCTATCTCTAAGTTGAGAGAAGGTGTGTGTGTGTGTGTGTGTGTGTGGTGTGTTTTACAGGCTCTCAGACAATTTTATTTTTTTTTGAGAGCATGAGTGGGGGAAGGGCAGCGACAGAGGGAGATGCAGAATCTGAAGCAGGCTCTAGGCTCAGAGCTGTCAGCACAGAGCCTGATGGGGGGTGGGTGGGGGGCTCGAACCCACGAACCGTGAGATCATGACCTGAGCCCAAGTCGGACGCTTAACCCACTGAGCCACCCAGGTGCCCCTAATGTGACAATTCTTGTATATCTGAACATTCTTGCTGGTGTCCCTTCTGCTTCTGGGAGAAGTGGGTCGTCACTGAGGAAGTCTGGCAGATGTAAAAATCTTTGAATGCCTTGGGAAGGCGGTTTTGCCCCAGAGAAGCTGGTCAGGCCAGTCCAGGTCTATACAGAAGTTATTCCCAGGGAAGTAGATTTGCAGACGAAGGCCAGACCAGCTCATGGAGGTAGAGAGAAACAGGAAGATGGATTGTTAGGACGGAGGTACAGTTGGGGGCCTGCCAGTTAAAATCCAACCTAGTGAATGCGGCAGTGTCTTCAGGCTTCATAAGCAGTGCTAGGATGCACATACTATTAGTCTCCTTTATGAATGAGGATCTTCAAAGAGGTTTTCTGTAACTGCCTCAGGGGTACCTGGATGATAAGTTCTGGGGATTGAATTTAGATCCAGGTGTGTCAGACACTAAATTTCACCAGCCAGGAGTTTTGCACACCTGACTGGGTGTAAGAATCCCCTTTGCCTTATTAAAAGATAGGTTCTGGTCTGTCCCTAGAACTGCCTAACCAATATCCAGAGGAGGCTTCTGGAAATGGGATGGTTGGAAGGGTCAGGCAATTTTGAGACCCTGTTCTCTGCTATACAGCTTCCCTTGGTTTAAACTGTCTTGACTCTTAAAGGCTTTCTGACCCCAATACTTCTGAGGGCTAGGCATTGATACCAAAAATATGGAGCCCTAAATGAAGTATTCTAGAAATGGAAGAGGCCTGCTTACTGTAGGATCCAAGGGGCACACTGGCATCAGAGTTAAAAAAAAAAAAAAAAAAAAAACCTGCCCTGGAATGCATGCCCATGATCCCTTATGTCTGCAGAATCCCCACATTAGGTACCGCTGGGCTCTGCAGCCTATGAGCACGCAACCTTCAGGGCACTTTTTTTTTTTTTAAGTACTTTACAGTCATCATGGCTATAAGTAAAATCTCTTGCTTTCTCCTTGGTACCGCTTCGCTTTAAGGGTTTAAAGACCTTCCGTTCTCCCAACAACCCTCTTGCAGGGCTTTATTAGCCCCATTTGTCATATGGGCATTAAGAAGGTATTCAGGGGCAGTCAACCCACCCAGTATCTTAATGTGAGAAATGATGGTAACCTCTATGGAAAAGGCTTGGATTCCTAGATCAGTGGTTGTAAGCCCCAAAGCCCGGAGGTCAGGCAGATAATGCAAACGAGCAAGGTAGACTAGGTATGGCTCGTTCCATCCTGTTTCCTAGTTCATCAGGCGTCTTGTTATGTATATTTTTTCCACATTCTGGTCACACACCTGTAATGCTTTGATTGCTGATGGCTAGCTTTTTTCTTTTCTTTTTTTTTTTTTAACTACCCAACTTGGGGCTCAAACTCACAACCCCAAGACCAAGAGTCACATGCTCCACCAACTGAGCCAGCCACACATGTGTGTGTGAGTTCATTACAGGTTTCCTCATCCAACAGTGAGCCCTGGGTGGCTTTCTCAGAGTTACCAGAGCAAGAGGAAGGCCTGCTGTAGTGCCTGCGTGCCTCCAGAGCCTTTGCCCAGGTCACCCTTGTTGTCATGTTGGCCCGAGCAGGCCATGTGGCCAAGTCCGAATTCAGGTGGAGTCGCCCAGCCTGCATACAGGGAGGAACGAATGAGGCAGGGGCCATTAATACCATCTATCACTTGGATTCTTCCCATTTGTAACTGTTGGTAATGAACACAAAAACAATTTTCAGTACTAACACTGTGGGTTAACTGAAACCTGCGGGCCGGGTCTGCCTTGGGTTAGGAGCTCGTGATCTTTGCCTTTATTTTCTAAAGAATCCTTATTTGACCCACACCGGACTCCTGGAAAGGACGATTTAGTTCCATTTGAGACTGTGCAGAAACTGACAGGTTGATCCAGTTGACACGAAAGAGAAATAAAAATCTGGTACCACCTCATCACATCGCCTCTCTTTAGGCCTTAACCGCCTCCCCCCGCCACCTTCGGTGCGCTCTGTTGTGCCGGTGCACCCCGTCGTGCTGCATCTGATGCAGCCCCTTCCACTTCAGAGTGTTGTCCGTATGCTCACTAAGTGAGAGCCCGCCAGTGAGTTAGGAGTCGAGAGTTCCTTTGCCTTTTGAGGAGTTAGGTGAACAGCGCTGCCTTCACAGCGTCGTCTGGCTCGCTGCTGGCCAGACCTTCGATGCACAAGCACAGCTGAGCTCACAACTCAGAAGTGAGTCCTCTTGAGCCCTATCTTCTCTTGTGAAGCTTTAAGTAACATAATGGCCTGAGAAGCCATGTGCTTTTAGGTTGCTGAATGGGAGTATATAACCTGTCTGTTTAGTGTAGGGTTTTTTAACTGGCCAAAGAAATGCTACAGCCCTGGACAGGATCTCAAAGGCAGTAGGCACTTTCTTCTCTTCCGTTTCCCTCTCTCCATAAACTCCAGCTTCTCTGAGGTCATGGAGCACTTGAGCATAATTGCAAGTATGCTTCTTTCTTGTTATTTTTGATGTCTAGTTGCTTGGTCCCGTTTTTATTTAGGTGATGTGTCTGGCTTGGAGCTATAAGAAGTCAGCACCAAACTCAAAGTGGTTTAAGAAACCCAAACTGGAATCTACTGACTCAGATGACCGAAAATTCCAGATGCCTGAAAATTCTTGGTCTGGGTGCTTAGACAGTGCACCTCGAAACCTCTGTGGTCCTGCTTTCCTTGTTTGTTTGTTTATTTAGAAAGAGTACGCGTGAGTGGGGGAGAGGGCCAGAAAGAGGGAGAGAGAATCCCAAGCAGACTCCACCCTGCGCTTGGAGCCTAACACAGGGTTCGATCTTACAACCGGGAGATCATGACATGAGTTGAAATCAAGAGTCGGACGCTTAACCGACTCAGCCACCCAGGCGCCCCCTCCTTTTGTTGTCTCTATTCGCAGGAAGATTCTCCCCTCCTTGAGCTAAAATGACTACCAGCAGCTCCAGATTTCCCTTCTACCTGCTTCTAACCAGGAGAAAGGAAGCGTCTGTTTTCTGTAGAAGTTATGAACGTAAATTCCCATTGGTCCAGACTGGGTCATGTGTTCCTCCTCGGGCCTATCACGGGCTGACTCAAGTTGGTCAGTCTTGTATCAACGGCCCACACCCCTGATGATCAGGGTGGCGGGGTCAGCCTCACTGAACCATGTGGTCCAAGCGTGGGAGTGGGGTGGCTTCCTAAAGAAGAGGGAGTGGCTATTGGGCAAGAAACAGCAGAAACAACAGATGTCCATCTTAGGTGGGTGCTGGGAGCAGCCGTAGCTATAAGAATGTATGTGTTTTCTAATCACCAAATGTATTTGTTGATCAGCTGGGGGCTGAGGAATCAGTAGTTAACAGAATGGACACAGTCTCTGACCCGAGAAGCCCATAGTCTTGCTTCTTTTAACTAAAAGCATAACATTAATGAAAGCAATAGGCCTGGTTACAAGTCTAGGCTCTGGAGTTAGACCCAAGTTCAAATTCAGACTCTGCTAACTACCTTTTTGACCTTGGGCAAGTTAACTTACCCTGCCTTACTTATCAAATGAGGATCATGCTAATGCCTGTCTTGTGAAGAGTCTATGAAACAAAACCTGGAATGTTCTAGCACAAAGCCTAGCATACAGTGAGCAACCAGCAAATTCAAGCTGGTCCTATTATTTAAAAATTTTTTAAATGTTTATTT